TAACTGTTTATTTTCTACAAGGGGAAAACACTGGATGTGCCTATTTTATGAAGTGAGTTTCTAGGTTTGGGGGTTGGGCAGTGGCGTAGGCAGGGGGTAGGGGTTAGGGGAGGTAGAACTCCCCCATAGACCCCTCTACCCCCCCCCCCCCTCAAACTTTTGATTTGCACCCCTTCCCCTCAAACTTTCAATTTCCACCCCACTCCCTTAAACTTTAGCTTTGCACCCCCCCCCCCCCCCGCAAATTTTCAATTTGTTTTTCCAACCCATTTTGGCGCCCCCTAAGGTCGGCGCCAGGGGACATATGCCCCCCCCTCCTTGCAACCCATCTGCTATAAAACCCCTAGCTTGTCCGCAAACCGAAAGATATAATAATAATTAGTAAATAATACGTTCAGTGTATAAATTAAATTAAGGCATTATTTAGAATATCCGTGTTTTACAGACCATATTGCACATTATAAATTCATGCATTTTTTTCAGTACTTTTTAAAATTTACAATAAAGTTTCATGACTAAAACCATTGCGCACCTAATGAACGTGATAATTAATATAATAATGGAGAATAGTTTATTAAAAATTATAATTAGTAAACAGTACATTCAGTGAATAAAATAAATAAAAGATAGCCTTTTATCAATCAATGCTAATTATAATATTCCAACAATAATGTACTCTTACACGTCTGCATAATTTGCATTCACATTTTGCTAATTATATTATTCCAACAATTATTCCGTCTTGCAGATTTTGCATTTACGTTTTTAGCGTGAGTTCAATTTATTTTTACCTCCCTTGGCAAAATTACTAAACAGTTTAATTAGATTTTTCTAACCTACAGTTATTATGTTATTAAAATGTATCCACTTTTTCTAGGAATATTAACGAAAACTATATTTGACATTGATCCTTTTAATATGTTTTAGCAATGTGCGTGTATTTAATATTATCTTTACGTTATGCAAAATTGTACAAACAGTGGAAATTATAAAATAGCTCTATGCCACTATATAAACAAACTCTACTCTAATACTTATATTCGCGTGGTGCGAATGTTTACGTTTATGGTTCCAAAAGCTATAGCGATGACAGAAGGAAGGAAGGAAGGAAAGAAGGAAGGACTGACACACGCTCAGCCCGCTTATATTATAGACTAGCTGCATCCCGTGCTCCGCCACGATAAATCTTTTTTAAATGTACCAACTTGGGAAAAGAACAAAACTAAACACAACACAAACGAACGCAAAAAAACAACGAAAAAACAAACACAACACTCATAACATAAACACAATTTAAATGCAATCATAAAGGCAAATTGCTCACAGTCTAGCCCGTAGCGCCAAATCGCGCCCTTTCCGGTGATTTGCAACCCCCTCAAACTTTCGATTTGCACCCCTTCCACCCACCCGCCCTAAAACTTTCGATTTCCACCCCCCCCTCGCAAATTTTTTCCAACCCACTTTGGCGCCCCTTAAGGTCGGCACCCGGGGACATATGCCCCCCCCCCCCCTCGCTACGCCTCTCCTATAAAACCCGAAAGATAGAATAATAATTAGAAAACAGTATAAATAATAGGCAGTATTTAAAATACCGTGTTTTACCTACACTATTTCACTTTATCCATTCACGCATTTTTTTTCCAGTACTTTAAATTTTAAAAATTTACAAAAAGTTTCATAACTAAAACCATTGCGCACCTAATGAACGTGAAATAAACCGGTACTTGAGTTAGTATCACGTCCGGTTACCAGAGAAAGTCGTTAAAAATTGAAATAAAACTACAAATTTGAAATATTCCCTATTCATATTATTTCGCCAATATTACTAAAACCTAATCTCACCTTAGACATATAAGAATTATATACTTTTACCAGTGTCGGCCCCCCTCCTGAAAATTTAGCCCCCCCCCCCCCTCCTGAAAGAGATGGTTAAAGACATCTTCGGCAAAGTCGGCACAGACAATAGAAAATTTGGTTTAAAAGGGCGCTGCGTTGTTTGAACACTATCTCAAAAAATATAGTAATCAACTGATTAATTAATATTTCTAGTAATAAAACTTTATTTAATACTAAGTATTTTACCTTTATTGTATTTAAGAATTTTAAATATATATATATATATATATATATATATATATATATATATATATATATATATATATATATATATATATATATATATCTGATCTCTATCGAGCAGAATTAATAGACAATTGCTATCATGTAATAGCAATGTTTGGTTTTGAACATTTCTGATATTTCTTTTCTAAATTATTGTTACCTGCAATACTACATTCGTGTAACATTATATAAAATATATTTTTTTAAAATCTTTGTTATATTTACTACCCTTATGTACCACTTCAGTTATGCAGCTTCTAGTCCACGGTACAAAGTATGGGCCTCACTATCTACAATCAAGTGTTCGATGGAAATCTATAACAATAACCCGTACAATTGATATACGTATCGTCAGCAGTAAAATGTTTTGCGTAAGTTAAAGTAGCAGCTGTAAAAAAAAAGTTATCTAACACATAGGGGGAACCAACGTCTTAGATCCACAAAATGTAAATACAGCCATCCTGTGTTTCGTCTTCATTTCCCGTTTATGCCAAAACGCAGTGGGTAGATGAAGTGGCGTTCTCTTGTTTAATCACTTTCAGTAGACAAAACATAAAAATGAAGTAGATTTTAGCGTCATAATCTTCAAATGCTGGCGAACAAGCACAAGCGGTATATTAAGTTTTGCCGAGCGAGCGTCTTACCGTTTTAATGAACAATTATATTTCATCCAACCCTACATGACACAACTCTTCACACACCTACCGCAATACATTGATCAGTTGTCCGTAATTTGCTTTAATTCATTTTTAAGTATTTGCTTTTAGACTAGACGTAATTTCACTGTATAAGTACAAAGATTCGTCAATGTTTATCGTTTTTGTTGTGACTTGAACTACACTGATGTTCGAGGACAAATTTCTTGTAACGAAAAGCTAATTGTAGTTATACTTTTTCTTAATTTTTGAATATACACATTATATTTCATTGTATTACTATTTGCTTAAACCTCAATGCAGCTATCAATTTCATTGCTTGAATCTCTAATTTTTTAACACAATTGTTTATACCCTTTATTTATTTTTTTTTTATTTTCGGTAATCTCATTGAAAGTCTTCTTCTCCGTTTTTAATTTTAGTTCTTTAATTTGGAAGGGATCAATCAAACACAATTAAGTGTACGTGTCAACTGTTTATGCGCCATTGAGGCCATTGACTCCGATTTTAGCCTGCTTTTCTTTTTGGATTTGCTTCCAAAGTCTTTGTCCAACCAAGGACAACTACAAGGCAGCAGTTGTTTTATTTTGGAGTTGTTTCTCCGAGAAGTGTTGCGGTCCCCAGCTAACGAGCCTCATCTGCCAGAGGGTTCGAACTCGAGATTTTTCGGTTTAGCTAACATTAGGCGCTAAACAATGACACATGATCACGTGTATTAAACATTGAGCTCTGTAGATCAGCTGCATGTGTTTCAGCTTTTGGTTAAATTAACAAGTAAAGTAAAATTTCCTTTTCAAACCTTATGGTGTATGGGGCAAGTGAAGTAGAAGTGAAGCCTTATACGTAGAAGTGAAGTAAGCCTTATAAAACATAGCCAGTGTGCTTACTATGCCATTAAGTATAACATGTTTTTCCCTTTACAAACACACAACACTTTCATTTTATAGGGCAATGATTTTATTTTAAGCCACGGGTAATAGACTGGGCGGGAAAAAAAGAAGTTTTTTTTTATAAACTAATTTGGAATTTTGTAAAATGTGCCCAATGCATCTAGTGGCTGTTTTTCCAGACTTTTGAAGACTGAGAGGAGTGGGGGGGGGGGGGGGGGGGGGGGTAAACTCTGCTTAAAGTATGTTTAATATTTTCTGTATAAATTATATATTTTTAATATGTCGAACTCAAACGTAGTTATGTATATACAATTTAAAACTACGTCAGTGGTCGACATTATTCTGTAATGCATATTAACCCTTTTCAACATTAGGCATATATGTCCGAAAAGCCGGTTTTCCGGCCCGATGATCTAGCGTCATATTCCTAGCGGCCGGTATACCGTCTAATTAAATATAATTAGCGGAAGACTGACTAAAACTTCGCATATGTCTTTTGAGTGCGGGATTATGATTTTAAAAATTGATTTTTAGGAAAAGTGAAAGTATTTTCATTACGTAGTAATACCGCCAAAACAAAAAGCTGAGCTACAGCCGTCGACTTCACCGTTGGTGCAAAAGATGAAGTAAAAGACCGAAATATCAACAAAAGAAGTAGAATGACTGCATCTCAAGCAATACAACTACTTATTGATTCTGATGAAGAATATAATATTCCTGGTCTATATCGTGATGATAGTGACGTTGAATTTGAGACTGAACACAGTGACATTGAAATTGACAGTGACTATGAAACTGTTCAAGTACGTTCTGATGCACGTGGTGTCAAGGACAAAGACTTGCCGAAACGAAACAAAAAATGTTTACTGGTGCAAAAAATGCGAATTTTTTTCTTTGCATCGCATCCGGCAGTGATGACTGTTTTGAAAGTTATCACACAAAAGTGGACTTCTGGCGATCAACTAGTGTGGCCAGGTATCAATAATAACAAAACAATTACTAAATGTAAATTCGTTTCTTCTGTGTTCTATCAAAACAATAATAATATGTTCGTTTTATATACATTGTTCTGTTCAAACATTGTAAAAAAAATAAAGAATTTCAGAATCTTGCTGCATTGTTGTTTGATCCTGAGTCTAGATACCAAATTTGGCTTGATTATTTCAAACGGTTCAAAAGTTATAGGCAAAGTTAGAAGCAGATAAGTGAAAATCGGTTTGGGCCTGGGAGCTCAGGAAATAGGAAAAATTAGGTCAGGGAGGCCAGGGCTCAAAGGGTTAATAAAATTTTAAGTAATCTAAATACAAAAAAAAACGAATTTATTAAAGGGAAATTGATTTTTATTTTTTTAACATTTTGGGTAGATATATATTAATATTCTGTTCACTTTGCTTGCTTAGGTGCTGTTTTGTTCCCTTTATTCACAGGCTCCATAGTGTCAGTCAGCTTGCAATGAAATCAAAATAATTAATTATGATTGACATCAATACACAACTTAAATAACAAATACAATGTTTTTAAATAGTATTAAATATAGCATCTCCATATGTAATATTTCCTTGGTCATATATTCCATTATATATATATATATATATATATATATATATATATATATATATATATATATATATATATATATATATATATATATATATATATAAGTATATTCATATATACTTAGTATAAGTATATATAAATAAGTATATTTTCACTTATTTTAAACAGCGCCCAACACTAAGGATACAGTGAAATAATACCATCTATGATCAAACTTAAACACATAAAGTAAAAATCCCTTTTCAAACCTGACGGTCAAGTGAAGGAGAGTTCACATGCTTCTGTGACCTCTGATTATGGAGAGATAGTGTGGTCTCGAACTCGAGACTTACGGGTTAGCAGTCAAGCTCTATACCGCTAGACCTCTCTGTCCCCATGCTGTTGCTTATTCTGTTGACCCTACGATAGTCCCGCTCCACCGCTTACACCTGAGCTGTCTATGAGGAGTGTGGTCATCCTAACCTTTGCGGATGTTGTTCGACGTGCACTCAAAGTCTGTTTTTTTTTTCTAAAGTAACTTTTCTAATGCAATAAACTGCTATACCAGAATAAGAAAGTCATGTTATTTCAATTTATAAACGGTGTCACGAAGTCTAAAAATATAAACTGTGTAGCAATTGAATATTAAAATCACAATTATATGATAATTGTACATAAAGATTGAAACATGTCATGATCAGTTCTCCTTACAGCGATTGGGTGTAAGCTGTTACCGGAGGGAGATATGATAACTGGGCGTTCACGAGTTGAAGTTAAAGCTGGTGGCTTTAGCATCAGACTAGTAGGTTTAAGTATGTGCCGTTGCGATCAAGGAAGTAGATATAAATATGACTGTTTTCTAAATAGGAAGGTGAGTTTAAATAAACGGCTCTGTCTTTAGGGAGCTGGTAATAAAAATGCGACATCGTATCCATAGAGGTATGTTTAAATGTAGCCGAATCTAAATCACGCAGATAGGTATAAAAATTGAAGCGACGTAATCAGAGATGTAGGTTTAATTAAATATAGTTGCATTGTAGGTAGGTTTAAATATTGCATTGTTGTTAACGGGGAGGTAGTCATAAAAAAGGGTAGGCTCAAAAAAATAACTGGTAAAAACAAAACCTTTTTTAATTAATAAAAATAATGTATTTATTTGTGTGTATCTTAGTTAAGGTACTTGAGGGAAAATATTTTCATGCAGCAGGGAATCCTTTAAAAATATTATAGCCACGGAAAAAAGGCCCCCATTTTGAAAAAAAAAGTTTTTGTTGAGGTCTCACGGTTAAAAAAATAGCATTTACCTTGCTCATATAATAACTAGTTTATAATTCTTTTACGAAATCGTATAGTCTCAGTAGGCGAGTTTTTGCAACAAATACAAAAACACTAGAGAAATATGTTTCTTTACGAATTTAAAAATATTTGTATGGTGAAATACCATTCAATTTAGAATTAATTTTAATTATATTTTATCCCAACAAAATTATGAAAATGCAAAGGTATGTCTAAACACGGTGCTGTCGAAAACGTCCATGTCGGTTTAAATATGGTGTCTTAGAGATTTATCTGTCTGTGGGAGAATTATTGTCGGAAGGTAGAGCATACGACTGCTAACCCAAAAGTCTCGAATTCGAATCCAGAGTTCGTGTTAGTAAATCGCTATTGTGTACACCCAACTCTGAGTCGTTCTTGACTTAAAATAAGAAAGTGGATGGGGATAGCTCATCACGTTATCCTTGCATATGTTAATATCACGGAAACACGGACCGTCATGTTCGGAAAAGTTATTTCACATTGCTCTTGTAAAAATATAATTTTTACATAAATCTTCTTAGTAAAATTTGAATATTTTCAAACTTTAAAGACAAATTTACAAATACACATTAAAATATGAGTATCATAACGTATGATAATAAATATGATATATTTAAAAAGCTCTTTATAATTAAATAACTTACCATTATCGCATCTCCCAGACAATGCCCATCTAAATAAAGAAAAAAATAACTAAGGTGTATGTTTGGCTTCTTTTTAGTTCTCAATTGTAAAGGTGGAAAAGATTACAACTATCAGAATTGATGATTACGTATCAAACGGTCATGTGCCAACTGGCCTGCTTACTCCGATATCATCCAACTTTTCTGTCTGGGTGATCTTATATAGCCTTTATCCATCTAAGAACAAACTACAATTTAGAACTAAATCAACTTTTCTCTCTTAGATGTTTTATTATCCCTACTTAGCGAGCCCCAGCTATCTTTACTTGGGACTTTACGGTTTAGTACCCATGAGCTTTAACCTCCCTACCACACAACCCCCAACCCCTTTTGGTTCTGATTTATGTTAATTAAGCACATTGCTGAATGTAAATTATAACTGTAGTCAGCCTATCTGCAATTTAACTCTAAATCAACTGGTTAAACTGTTAAATCTTTTAAAATTCCATGTAATACTATCTCTCTCGATATATATATATATATATATATATATATATATATATATATATATATATATATATAGAGAGAGAGAGAGAGAGAGAGAGAGAGAGAGAGAGAGAGGGGGGGGGGGGAAGGAAATATATATGTTATATACACAGGCTACATACTTGAGCGAGGCCTTGGAGAATTTTTTAAATGTACCTATTTCGGAACAGAACAAAACTAAAATCAAACACAACGCAATACAAACACAAAAGCTAAAACAAGCACAAAGCAAACGCAAACACAAACACGCTAACACAAACACAAACGAATACACAAACACAAAGCAAAAGCAAACACAAACATAAATGCAAACACAAAAAAAACCCCAAACGCAACACGCAAACACAAACACAAATGCAAACGCCAACCTAAACGCAAACAATAACGCATAAAATAAACACAAGTTTAAATGGAAACATAAACGCATAGGGCTCGCAGTCTAGCCCTCGTCGCCAAATCGCACCCCACCGGGGCACCGGTGGAACCACTTGATTCAATTTAGTAAACTACTATAATACCCTTACTTATTGATAGCTTATTGCGATAACTATAAATAAATTAATTGCCATAGCGCTCACGGTGAAGCCCTTGGCGCAAAATAGAACTTTGAGCCGGAAGAAGCACCTGATTCTATTTAGTGCTGGACTTTATTAACCTTTCTTATCCATAACCTATCGCACTGTTTAAAACAAACGTAGACGCCATAGTGCTCACGGGAAGGCGTGGAGCTACAAATAGAATACAAACCATACTAACCCAATAGCAATTAATTTCTGGAGGCTAATGAAAATACCCTGGAGATGGTTTCTGCTTTTAAAAATTCAATTTCACACAGGCGCCCCCCGGCAAGTTGCGTTTAGGCGCTCCTGTCTATCCCACGAGCGCTATGTTGAATCCTACGTTCATATTAAACCGTGGGAAAGACTGTAGATAAGATGGGGCGTTATTGTCGTTCACTAAATCGAATCAGACGCATTCGCCGTCACGCCGTCAGGGTAAAATTTGACTCCCCAGTTTATCCCTTGAGCGCTATCGCTATCGCTTACGTTTTGTTTTATTTTTGGTGTGCGTTAGGCTATGGATAAAATGGGACATTAAAGTCGTTCAATAAATTGAACTGGGTACTATAAGGCATACTAGATTAACCTATGAGCGACACAGTTTTTAATGAGCCAGGGGCCCTACTGGGCGCCTTTTCGGTAGTGTATTCGGGGACTCCCAAGAGCGCCCCTCTACTCCTTGACATCTGGGCGGTCACCGAAATGTGTACCACCTCACAATTACCGTGAGTGATTAAAATACACTTAATGCTTACATTGTAGGTGAACCCGAGCCCCGATAAAAATGATACAAGCAGAGGCGTAGCGAGGGGGAGGGGCGGGGGTGCGGATCTCACCGGGTGACACCATTTAGGGAGGAGACACCAAGGCAAAAAATAGAAAAAATATATAGAGCAAAACTTGAGGGGGGGGGTGCAAATCGAAAGTTTGAGGGGGTGGGGGGGGGGGGGGTGAAAATCGAAAGTTTAAAGGGGGGGATGCAAATCTCGAAATTTTGAAAGTTTGTCCCTGAGAATGGTCACTACGCCTCTGGGGGGTGACACCATTAAGTACCACACCGGGTGACACTCGACCTCGCTACGCCACTGGATACAAGCACGGGCGATTCAGTTTTAGAAAACAAGGCCACACCTCTTAGAATATATTATTTGTAACCTTCTTAGAATTTTTAGACGGGTACGTTAATATGTAATAATAATTTAAATAAAAAAAAGCTAAACAAGGAGTGCTCCTAAACGACGGCACACCTGGGGACGAAGAGGGATAATCTGCCTTTTGTGAAGATGCTTGATGCTGGTCAGAAATAGTAACCACATTATTTTTTGCATTTTACAAATATGCGCTAGAAACATAATTTAATCATCCATTTCAAGCTATGGAAATTGATTAGAAATTATATTAAAAAAGAGATCCATATTTCGGTTATGCTCATGTTTGCTGAAGTCCTATTGTTCTAACACCCGGCTGAAAAGGTTTCATAGCTGGGGACAAAAACATCAAGGAAAGATAATTCCAATATCAATAAACTACTACCTTGTAGTTTGTTCTTGGATGGACAAAAGGATGAGCGGGATAAAATCGGAGTCATTGGCCTATATAGCGCAAGGCAATTTTACACGTGATACTTAATTTTTTTCGACTCTAGAATTAAAAAATGAAGTAGAAGAAAGAAATTTGATATTATTATACTCAACTTTGACCGAGCTCAGTAGATAGTTTTAAAATAAGAAAAAAAAACGTTAATTTGAAAGAGTAAAATAATTTTCATTGACATAATTTTTATGTGACGTTGGGTGAAGTGGTGGATAGGTAAATATATATATATATATATTTTTTTTTAAACTAGACTACGTTTTCGGATTAATTATTTAATACTAAGTAAGAATGTCGTGGCGTCTTGGTAGGATTGTCGTGTCGCCTAGTGGGATTGTATTAGCATCTTGGTAAAAATGCCGTGGCGTCCAAGCCGGATTGACGTAGGGCCAAATGTAATTGTACAGGAGCCTAAGTGTAAAAGTGATCGCGTATTATAATTAATTAAATCGTGCTGCCATATTCCAATATTGGTTTATATATATATATATATATATATATATATATATATATATATATATATATATATATATATATATATAATATATATATATATATATATATATATATATATATATATATATATATATATATATATATATATATACATACATATATATATATATTACTTTCTTACTCATCTGGTCGCACACAAGTCATGGAATCACAGCACTGTGGTTCCCAGATGCCCAAATTACAACGACGGTTCCTTTTAACGCATGGGCAACTGTCGGATTGAAAAAAAAATAGTCTCTTTCATGCACGTCTTCGTAAGAGCTTATGCCCCCCCCCCCCCACCCTCCCCTCCCCCCCCCCCCCCCGTCACATCTTTTTGAAAGGTCGTCCACTCCCTCTACTTTAAATTGTAATATAATTCATATAGAAAATAAATAATTTTAATAGTGTATACCACAGCCGTCCCCCCCCCCCCCCCCACAACACACACACACAAAATGAAATTTAATTTTCAGGTGCAATCCCATCCACCGGGTACAACAATTTCTGGAGGGAAAAAAAGCACTGGTTGGGAAGAATGCATGTTAAGTGGCGTGTATTATTTATATAAGACCGTTCAGGCTGCACCTTGGTAAGTCAATATTCGGGTGTATGATGCATTTGGCTTACAATAAGGTAATAAACACCGAGAAAGTGTATTCAATTGTATAAAAATAAAAGAAAATAATTTGTATTAACCTTGTATGATTTATGTTGTTGTAACGTATCAATTTTTGTGTACATTTTCAATTTGATACTACTATTAAAATCCAATTTTTAGTTTTATGTTTGCAATACTTTCAGTTTACTATATTAAGCAACTTTCTGCTGTAAGATTAAGGAAAGCAGCCTACACTTTCGAAACAGCCAGTCCAGTGGACAGATGAAGTACACATGTTTCAGGGACCCCGATAATTAAAGGCGAAGTGTAATCAACACTATGCCCAGTCGCCTTAACCTTCTCTAACATGAGCCAGGTATCCATTAGAGCTTTGTTGATTCAGGGACGTCCTAAGTACTCGAGCCCGTGATCCGAACTCAAAGATTTTCACATAAGCTTCCGTACATTATCCGACCACTCAGTCCCCGCATACTTAAAACTAAAACATGGAATGAATTGAATAACTATTAACCAGGCTATTACACTAGTTGCTAAAAAATGAGTACCTACCTGTCCGAGTGCACTGCAAGACTCGCCAGGATTACCAGAACAACTATCATCTTCATTTTCATCAAGTGTGTGCGGAAATGCTTAAAACATAAACAGATTTGAAAATAGTTTTTGCTCTTTCTACTTTCTGGTATACAAAGTATAAAGGAATTATTGTAATAGTGCAAAAAAAAAAGAATAGAGATTGTTTTCAAATCTCGAAGTTTTACACCTCCCTGAGTCGAAAAAAACATAGTTTTGCAATCTTGTCCGTATTTCTGTGTGTGTGTGTGTGTGTGTGTGAACACGATAACTTGAGTACCGTTACAGCTAAGTCGCCGGAAATGGAACGTGTTTACTGTAATTTTTTTCAAAAACCTGTAACTTGAGCACTGTTTCAAAAAGATTAATGAAAATTCACATGTAAGTAAAAGATTTATTTTTCTGCCTTTATTCCAATTTCCGTTGACGGAAGTAGTAAATCATGCTATTTCAAATTTCTAAAAAAAAACCGCATGTGAATTTATAAAGTACAAATAATATTCCGCACTATTATACACATATTGTTTGGCGTTTTGTTGGTGCGCAATTCTTTTTTCTACAAGATTCTATTCTATTTTTAAAAGTTTAACTAAGTAATAAACCGGGAGTGATTTTTCCTAAACTTTCTCGAATATTCTTATATAATACTAAGAGGGGTGGTAACTCGGGATATAGATATGATTTTTTCAACAAAAAAAATAACGAAACGAAATATGTACAGTTGTATAGCTTGAAAAGTACACACAATAAAAAGACGTCATTGATTCTAGAGTAAAAAGAATTAAAAGTTCAAAGGCAGAGGTCGACTGATACGTGGGCAACATCTGTCTTTTCTCACCTTACCAACCAGGCATTGTGCTTGGATTTGTAATGCGCAATCATCTAATGATCGACAAGACTATTGAGAACGTTTAGAATTGGATGATGGGTATATAGATGTATATTAGGTAAGTAGCACTTAGTTTATCATATTGTATTTTTGTAACCCTATACTTTTAATGATTTGTTTTCAAATAAATCATAAAAACGGATTTGATATAGTATTTTATATTAACACAACAGGTAGATAATCTCTACGTTTTTATATACGCATCAGGCCCACATACACAAAATTGAAATGCATATTAAATAACCAGCATCATATATATATATATATATAAGTAGAAATCCAATTAAGTCAAATTTGATGTCATGCTGCATAAAACTTGGTTCTGAAACGAATTGGTCTGATAGAAATTTAAGTCTGGAAATTCGATCCATGTGGAAGCACGACATATAGACAGACATTTAAAACCCGGTTGTAAATGTTTTAATGACAAGTTAATCTTGAATTGAAATGCATATTTTTATAGCTAATCTAGCCCAACCCTAAACCTATCCCAATTTTATGAGACCTAATTTAAATTGATATTATCAGATCTAAACCGACACTGAAATGACTATGCTAAGTTTAGCCAAGCAAACTTAAGATTAACTAATTAAAGCTAAGCTTAAACTTACAATACTGTCTATATTATAATTATTGAAAAGTAGGGAATATTACCAGTCTACATTTATACATCTTACTACTAGAACTAGACTAAGGCATACAAATAAACTTTACTAAACTTAGTAAACCGAGCGTGCAACTGCTATCTTTTTTTAGGTTTACTTTAACCAATACAAATCAAAATTTAATTACAATATGTGCTAACCACATTCTAACCTTCTTTTTAATATATACATACCATGTTTGGAGTAAATTTCAATAACTTATTATCAAAATATAATTTATGTCAATCCACATTTTAAAAAAACCTGCCATTTCTAAGAAATCCACAAAAAAATGACCGTGTCTACTGACAGTATTCAAAAGTATGCGTGTAAACATTAATCTAATAAAAAAACAGTTGGATGAAAATTGTTTAAACCGAAGCTAAACACACTTACCTGACTGTTGAAGATGCCAATTAAAATGTTTGGGCTTGAAAACTTTAGTAGTAAGGTAAGAACAAAGAAAAAGTAAGACATGTTTGAGATCTATACAAAACGATTGTGAACTACAAATACAGGAAGAGATTAAAAATAGCTGAACCGGAGGTTAAAAAACATTAATCCGGTACCTACCGGTGACTCACGGGATATAAAAATATTAATTGCGAGGTAAATGGCGCGTTGTGGGAGAAATACAACAGGCGCTAGGTTGATGGTGATGTATTGATGTATTTTTCTCTAAACTAAAACCAACATCTCCACCTCAACTTCAAATTTAACCATAAACGAAAAATATCATTGAAATCCAATTTTATCCAGAATTGGCATTTTAACCGATTTTAACCTTGATTTCGCACGTAGCTACTGCACATTCATATTAAATATTCAACGGGCGCTAGATTGATAGTGTTTTCTTTTTCTCAAAAATAATACCTAGTACCTAGACATTTCTGCATAACTTTATCTAGTAAAATTGATCCACACGCAGTTTTTGCACATGTATATACTACTAAAACTCAAGTTTGTTTACATGTTTGAATATTTTTGTTTGTTTGTTTGTTTGTTTTTTTGTTTGTCTGATTTGGTAATGGAGAGAATCTGCTCTATGTGTAGGGCTGTAAAATAGTATGTAGGTAGAGAACAATTTTTATTTTCAGACAGACTGTTAATCACAAATTTATTTAAAGAAGTTAATGAATGTATTGATTTATTCATTGGTAGATTAACCACATTAATTTTAAAAGTTTGGAAATTAAAAGTTTAGAAAAACGATTTTACTTTGAGGGAATAGTGACGTCACATACTTTTTTTTTACTTTTTAGTACAATAATTTATAAATGGCGGCTTCTATCAAAGAAGATTGTGTTCCCATTCCAATGTTTAACGCGTTCTAAAGTTAATTTTCTGTCGGCTATAACTTTAACAATACGTACGTTTGCTGTATTTATTATGTTCAAACACTTATATCAATTTTCAACTGTCTTTTTCATTTAACTTTACAATAAATTTCTCTAGCTCTACAATCTGTCCAAGAAAGTTATTTATAGATCTAAATATCAGGTGGCCAAGAAAGTTATTTATAGATCTAGATCTAGGATCTAGATCAAACCAAAGATTAATTAGTTTAGTTAAAAAAAAACATTTTAAAATCATAATACATTTTTGAGTTTCTTTATTAAACTACTTTAGTCCTTAAATACTAGACTTAAGCAAACCAGTCGTATAATATAGATAATTCTATCTAGATTTAGATAATAATGAGTTTCTATATACTAAACTATTTCAGACCTTTATTATTTTATATAATCTTTATTTGTTTAGCTGTGGAATTGGTTAACTAAAGATAACATTTAAATTGAAAGTTACTAGACTTAGATATAGATCTAGAGATAGGGCCTATGCGCTTAAATCAAGTTGCGTAAGGAGACTCAACGTATTATTATATAGCACAAAAAACATCAGTGACGTCACGAATATTGATATTTAAGTTGTAATTGTAATAGGCTTTCATGCAGGTAGCACGGGTTCTAGACACATCACGTCAATGTTAAAAAAAAAATCAATTAATTTTTTTAGATGTGAATGATAAAGTTGCCTATCTGAACTTGGCGGGACACTGCGCAGGTGAAGTAGAGTTTAGTAGGCCACCTGTGACGTCAGTATATGAAGGGATAGTGTGGTCAGACCTATGCTCAGCTGAAATCGGTGATTTTAAAAGATAAAAAACGTCTTTTTGAATGTGGGGTCTGGTAATTTTGTAATAAGTGATAGACGTGATGTCATTTATGGATGACCCACGAAACCCCCAGTTATCCAAGGGATGACCGTGTAAGTCTAGTTGATACTAAATTTAGTCGTAGTCATACCCCTAAGCCATGCATCTAATCTTAAACTTAACAAAAGTTGCATGCATGGATCACTGAAAGAAACACTGGTCGCATGTTTGATCGTACAGACCCGCCATTCTTCATCTAGAACCATTTCCTACTCATGGCTGCTAAACCTCAATTATGCAGTGTTTCTTTCAGATTTATTGTTTTCCGGGAGGGGCGGGACGCATTTTGAACTTTTACAGTTGATTAAATTCTCATTGGGGGAGGGGTACTGATCATAGGTAAAAAAGTATATATTTTGTATATAAATTATATTTTGTTTCCAGGGGGAGGGGGGGGGGGTAGACGTTATCATGGAGTGTGTGTAGGGGGGGGGGGGGCGTCACCTCTCGACGAAGAAATGGCGGAAAGAAACTCTGCACGCTTTCCAGTTTTAAGATTAGGCAAATAAATTAGGCGGTAATGTTTTTTGTTTAGTTTTTCGGCATTAAACTTTCAATTATGTCATTCAATGACGTCATTTTATTGTGTGTACTTTTCCGGCTTTACAACTGTACATATTTCGTTTCGTTTTGAAAATTTTCTATATGTACAGACAAATGTAAGGGCACCAACCCTCTTAGAAGAGAAAAAAATGAATATTAGATTACTGTTAGGGGTCGGCGTGGTCGGTAAAGCTCATGGTTGCTAACAGTCTCGAGTTCGAACTCTCGGGCAGATGTGGCTCATTAGGTGAGGACAGGCACTCTTAATTATGTTGGAGGGGAATTTCCTGTTTCTGAAAGTCGTTAAAATGTTAAACGACACCTGTTATAGGATCTAATACTTATTTGTAAATTTAATAATAGGCTATGGTTTGAGATAGTGGGCTTTCAACGGGCACCGATTGTGCATGGCTGTAGTCGACGGGCCGTCTTAGGTACCTAACTCTGATACTATGGGCTTTGTATAAGATCTTGGGATTTCTTAAGTAACGCTCATATAAGCGCCGATAAGAAGAGTTAGGCCCGCTAGAGTTTATCTAGCTCTTGTCTCTAATTTTTGTTTGCTCAAATCGGCCCTAGTTTACTCATCTACGTCGGAGAGGCTTCATATATATCGATATGGTGCTTCCTTAATTTAAGCAAACGAGTTAATAGGTCTTATTTGGGGAAATTAGACTTAATTAACAAATATGCCATCTTGTGCATTGTCTTTTGTGGTGCACCTATTTGCGGTAATTTATATTTGACTTGTTTCGAGAAGGTGGGTGTTCTAAAGACCTTATAACTTTAAAAGCTTTAACATAAGACTTTGGGGCACATTGTGTTATGATGCATTTAATTCA